CTTGATGATACAGGAGTGTGTGTACATGTAATGCTTGATGATGCAGGAGTGTGTATACATGTAATGCTTGATGATGCAGGAGTGTGTGTACATGTAATGCTTGATGATGCAGGAGTGTGTGTACATGTAATACTTGATGATACAGGAGTGTGTGTACATGTAATACTTGATGATACAGGAGTGTGTGTACATACAATGTTTGATGATACAGGAGTGTACATGTAATACTTGATGCAGGAGTGTGTGTACATGTAATACTTGATACAGGAGTGTGTACATGTAATACTTGATGATACAGGAGTGTGTGTACATACAATGTTTGATGATACAGGAGTGTGTACATGTAATACTTGATGATGCAGGAGTGTGTGTACATGTAATACTTGATGATGCAGGAGTGTGTACATGTAATACTTGATGATGCAGGAGTGTGTACATGCAATACTTGATGATACAGGAGTGTGTGTACATGTAATACTTGATGCAGGAGTGTGTGTACATGTAATGCTTGATGATGCAGGAGTGGGTGTACATGTAATGCTTGATGATGCAGGAGTGTGTGTACATGCAATACTTGATGATACAGGAGTGTGTGTACATGTAATACTTGATACAGGAGTGTGTGTACATGTAATACTTGATGATATAGGAGTGTGTACATGTAATGCTTGATGATACAGGAGTATGTACATGTAATACTTGATACAGGAGTGTGTGTACATGTAATACTTGATACAGTAGTGTGTGTACATGTAATGCTTGATGATGCAGGAGTGTGTGTACATGTAATGCTTGATGATGCAGGAGTGTGTGTACATGTAATACTTGATGATACAGGAGTGTGTACATGTAATACTTGATGATACAGGAGTGGGTACATGCAATGTTTGATGATACAGTAGTGTGTGTACATGTCATACTTGATGATACAGGAGTGTGTACATGTAATACTTGATGCAGGAGTGTGTATGTTCTGATGGGAGATCAAGAAGAGAATGGTTGACTTCACAAACGAAATGTTATTTGGTTCAGTCATTTAGGCCCTGTCAAAAGCATATGAAGGATGTGCCACGTAGAGGAAGCACCATGTGCAAAGGCACAAGAGTCCTGCCTTCTCTGCGATTCCTATTGCTGTAATATAATACTATAACCAAAAGTAACTTGGGGAGGAAAGCATTTATTTCATCTTAGACTTTGAGGTAACAGTCCATCAGAGAGAGATCAGGGCAAGTATTTAATCAAGGCAGGAGCTAATGCAGAAACCATGGAAGAATACTGCTTACTGTCTTGCTCCTCATGAATTACTCAGCCTGCTTTATAATAGCATCCAGGACCACCCATCCAGGAATGACACCACCTACATTGGGCTAGACCATGGGTCACTAATTAGAAAAATGTCCTACAGCCCCATTTTATAACGGCATTTTTTCAGTTAGGGTACCCCCTTATCAGATGATGCTATCTTGAGTCAAGTTGAAAAAACAAAACAAACAAACAAACAAAACAGGCAGCCCATGGCACTTAAAAGAGCCACAAGGATCCCCTAGCAGAAGGCAAGTTGAACTGGTGAAATTTCTGAATGGCCTAACACTTGAGTTCAATCCCTAAGGCCCACATGATGGATTGTAAGAAACCCTGACCTCCACTTATGGTGCACATATGTATACTCCTCCACACTCACTTAAGATGTAATAAAATTAGAGGAAACTGGGATAACATGAGCACATTCTGAATTATAAACATTTTATTGGCATGTTGGACAAACTTCAATTGCTACAGGTATGGTTTGTTCCAACGGTGCAAGCAAAGGTAAGTTTTCTGCTTCAGCCCTGTTTTCAGGCCTCTCTGAGTGCAGGCTGCCTGGTCCCCAGTAGCTCAGATGGCACTTCTGGATTAGTCTCTGCAGCACCACCTGACCTCACGTAGGAAACCCTATCTCAGAAATAACCGTGTGGCTAATAGGAAAGAAGGCACCAGCCAGGGCTTCCATTGGAGAAGAGGAAGCCAGCAATGTAGTTGTAATAAAGAAGGAAATTATGGGTAGTGACCAGCAGAAACTAGAAGTGGACAACAAGTGGAGCTGTATTAATTTTATACAGAAGTGAAATGATAGTATCTCTAAAAGTTTCAATGTGATATTGTTGTAACGAAACAAACTTCAAATTCTAAATTTAAAATATTGTGTTTAAAGTTCTTGACTTAAGGGGAATATTTTAATGAGTATACCATACCATAAGATTTTATTCATCAGTTTTCAGACTGCTACCCAAAGGGGAACAGGTCTCTATGCTGCTTTCATATATTAAAATGGATGCCCTTGAAGAGGTTAGAACAATTACTGTGTATGAACAAGGTGCATATGAGGCTTGAATTAATGTCATACAGAAGTGTGTCATTTTCTGCTATAAATGACCACTGACAATTGATTGACTCAAACTTGGCCTTCCTAGAATATCAAACAGGTTTGTACCCTTAAATCGGTTATTTTGTTTAAAATGTTCACCTTTATCCAACTTGGCAATGGAGCAATTTCCATCTGTTGCTGTATGGATTTACTGAATCTGCCATCTCAGGACTCTGATTGGAAATGTGGCCATTAACAACGTCTGGATTCAGGGCTAGGGAGGTGACTCAGCAGTTAAGAGCACTGGCTGCTCTTCCAGGTGACCCAGGTTTCAATTCCCAGCATCCACATGGTGGCTCACAGCCATCTATAACTTCAGTTCCAGGATGTTCAACACCCTCACACAGACATACAGGCAGGCAGAACAACAATGTACATGATAAAAACAAATCACTAAAAAAAAGTCTCGGTTCATTAGACAAAGCAACAAGTGAAATATATAAAAAACTTGATAGGAGTAAAGTATTTACTGCTGTTTTATATAACTGGATGCTTGCACTCATATAATGTACTCTAAGGAAAATAAAGTTGAATTGCCTGGCATAATTCATCTTTGGTGAAGTGGATTGCTGCAGTGAACTATCATATAGAGGCCATCCTTCTAGGTCACAGAATTAAGGCCACACAATTATATTTCAAATGTAACTCCATTTTTTCAATATAATTGCTCTAAATATAGTTCATATTTCTTTTCTTAAATAGAGCAGGTGAAAATAGTTCTGTCTTTTCTTTGTGATTCAGGGCCTATGAGCATTGCACTATCAGGAAATGGAAATTGGTAGCATTTGTCACTTGGTGAAAAGCCAAAATGAACTTTGAGATCTTAGTGTGCAGTATGTTCCCTTTTGTTTGTTTGTTTGTTTGTTTGGTCAGTTGTTTTTTTGTTTTTTTTTTTTTGAGACAGTCTCAAAATGTAGCCCAGACTGGTCTCAAACTCATAATCCTGCCTCATGCTCTTGGGTGCTGGGATTAAACTTCCTCTCTCTAATACCTCTTAGTTTTTAATCCTCAGGGTCTTTAAATGCTAAAGACTGTGGCATTGTATCTTTTACACATTGTACAGAGAGAACATAGGAGTATATAAATTCCAAGTGTTCAGTGGACCAGTCCTATAGAGACTTACTAAGCACATATGGGCAGACTGGATGCTCTGATATTTACAAGGCTGTCAAGCAGACACTCGTTTGTCATTTTCTGAGGAGAAGTACTCAAAAGGAGAGGTATTTATGCTGGCATTTGCCAAGATAATTGCCATAACATTTTAGAATTTAAGACCTTGAAATGGCTGCAGGTCATTATGTGTCAGGTCATAAGTCTTCCCTTGCTAACCCTTTATCTGGCAAAGATCCATGCCATTTGCTGTCACCTCAAAAAGAGAAATGCAGCTGTCAGTAGTTACCCTTCCCATCAGCTAATAATTTTATCCTGATGTCTCTGCTAGCTGCTACATCTTTGCTAGACCAAAAACTTCAAGGAAATACAGTTCACTTCTCTCACAATGGAATGTGAGGAACGTCTGGTTGAGGCATGTCTGGGTGAGCACTTCTTAATATAAAAGTAAGATTATTCTCTAGTTCTGAAATGGTAAGTCTTCCTCTCTCTTATTCCTCCTGCAAGTCCTTCAAAAACCAGGTAAACAATGGGTGTTTGAGACAAAAGGACTGTTCTCCTACCTCCTCCCCCTCTGGGTTTAGTTGTCTGCAAACTCCATTGAATAGCTGCTACTTGTGGTCTGGACAAGTTGCAAGTAAGCATTCTTTGCTTCCTATGTGAAGCTCTTTATACTCAGGCCACAGGCTGTAGATTTTACATTTTCTCCTTTGTCTCATTCCATAGGACAGTGGCCCTCTCTATTGCTTTATTGATAAAATTAGGTATCTGGAATCTGTTCAGCTAAAAATGTTGTGGTATCTTTTATATAGGTTTGCCTTCCTGTTTAATAATATGGTAGTTTTCTGGGGTTTGTTTTGTCAAGTGAAGGATCATGTAGTGATGATGAACATGTTGGTATATGTTGTAAATAATCCCGAGAAAGTGAGAGCAAATCTCTAAGCCTGCTACCAGTATGTAGGTTGATCTTCTTATATCTGCAACAGCATAGTCCCTTGATCTGTTGATCAAGAGAACACACATTCTAAGTAATATATCTATAGCTTATCGTAGATCATCTTTGATTTATGTCTCCTCCAAATGGCCTTACAAAAACATATTTTTAATATTTTCTTTTTTATCACTTCCAAGTCTATTCAGATATGAAATGTGCTGTCAAAACTAGGCAGCCTGGGGTTTTTGCTGTTATAGGTATGAAAAATATTTAAAGGAAATTATTTTATCATTTGTTTCCAATTACTTCCCTTCCTTTGTTTACTCAAGAGCTGGAAAATGAACCCTAGGACTCTGCACACTGAGCTCACTGAGCAGCACCCAGCCCACCTACATGCAATCACGATTGAGATGCTCTGTAAACTTACTGAGCACCTGTCACAGACTAGAATGGTGATGGGACAGCAGTTGAAATCATTAAATGGAGCTTTATTAGTCCAAATGGACATTAAGAAATAGGGGTTTAATTTACTTATTTATTGCTTTCTTATAGGTGGATTCGCCAATGAACTTGAAGCATCCTCATGACTTAGTCATATTAATGAGACAAGAAACAACAGTTAACTACCTCAAAGAATTAGAGGTGAGGAACTGGATATATCATTCACAGCTGAAACTTCTGCGCCCTAGGAGCTGATTGTATTCAATAGGAATACAATTTTAGATCTTGCTTCGAGGTGGAGTCTTTTAAAACAATAACTTTGTCAAAGTCCTTTGTCAAAGTGGTGTGTCTGTTTGTGTTTTATTAATTAAATTTGTTCCTAGACAGTTTTACACTTGTATATAATCCATACTGACTACTCCAACCCCCCATGTCCCTCCTACCCCTGTCTACACCCATCCTTTCCATCAAGATGATTTGAGTAATAGAGGAACAGAGTACCCTGGTGTAGGTATTAACCTAATTCTCCCTCACTTATCCTGGAATAGGTCTGTATCATTGCCTCCACCCCCATCCCACCCCACCCAGTATGTGCTGGGAAGCTCTCTGGAGGAAAGGACAGTGCTCTGTGCTATGATCTGAGACGAGTTTGGGTGAAATATGAAAAAGAAGAAATGAGCTGGACATGGTTGCTCACATCTGTAATCCCAGCACTCCACATACAAATAGGCAAATTGATCTCTGTGACTTTGAAGTTAGGCTGGTCTAAATAGAGTGTGCAGGATTACAATAGAGACCTTGTCTCAAAAAGAAAAAGCGGAAGGAAGGAGCTGAGCAGGTAGCACACACCCATCATTCCAGCTCTTGAGTCCCAGGCCTGTCCAGTGTGCATAGAGAGCTACTGTCTCCACACCAGAGAAGAAGGTTTTCACGAACCCTAACAATCATCTTAATTCTTTCTGAAGGAGTAAAAACGAGGGTCTCCCTATGGTTTTTTTCTTGTGGTGAAGTCAAAAAGTCTGAACCAGTTTGTACCATGAAAACTCGCAACTTATATGTGGAAAACTAAAATAAGACTTTTGTTTAATGAACAAACCAAGCAGCATTTTTAGGCACTGATTTTTACCATTTATATCTGTGATCTGGGTTGGCTCACTAGTATGCAGTAATTGGGAAAAACTAGATTTTTCCCCCATAAGCTATCTGCTTGAAAGTTATAATGTAAATTACATCTAAATTTTAAGGAAACTTAAGTTTTAGAAAAAGTCAAGTGCCAGATGAGAGTTAGGAAGTATGGGGAATAAGCAGGAGTTACCAGTGTAGAGTGAAGTGCTGTAGCAGGAAGGAATCCTAAGGGCCATTTCTGTGTAGACACAAGAACCTAGAAACAAGGCTCGCTCAGGTTTTCAAGGCAGGCATGGCAGAACTAGAAGCAGAAGGCTTATAACTTGTTCTTTGTTTTTGGGTTTGGGGAATTTTTGTTATTTTTCTCTCTTAGTTTACTTTCTATTAAAAAAATATGACTACCCCTCCAAACTTGTAAAGGAAAGAATTTATTTAGCTTATGATCCCCATCATAGTCCATCATGAAGGGAAGTCAGGACAGGAACCTGGAGGCAGGAACTGAAGCAAAAACCTTGAAGAAACACTGCTTATGGTCAGCTACCTTTTTTATAACTCCTAGACGTGCCTGCCCAGGGCTGGCACCACTCACAGTGGCTGGGCTCTCAACAATCATTTTAATAAAGGAAGTGCTCCCACAGATTTGCCTATGGACCAATCTAATGGAGGCATTTTCTCAGTTAAGGTTGCCACTTCCAAGATGATGATAGCTTGTGTCAAGTTGTCAAAGGAGGGGGAAAAAAAAACACTTCACTTCAGTTTTGTAGACATTGAACCGAGAGCATGCTGGGCAAGCTCTGTACCACTGAGCTGTGTCTGTACCCCCAGAAAGCTTAACTCTTAACTTGAAAATCACCTTCCTGTTAAATTAAGTCAATAATTCATTTTCTGGCCACACTAAGCCCTGAGTCCTACTGACATAAATTCAGGCTGGTACCTCTTTGAGCATATATGTGTCTAAAGATAGTTAATTTGTGTGAAGTAAAGGGGAACGGCTTTTAATACCTGTGAGCTAGCATCCACAGATACAGTGTTTTTAGAACTAAGTCTCTCACCTTGATACTACTGGTTTTATCACTTATAACTTGGGAAATGTTGACATTTTTCAACTAATATCAGGAATACAACAATAGATTTCTTTGTAGGGATTCATGTTTTGAAGAATGACCTGTTTTTATTTAAACATAGTGTTCAAATAAACGGCAATGGTTCAGAAGTTAGTTTTTACTTTTAGGTGCATAAACATATTATGTCAACTTACTGCTATTACTTTTTTAGTGGCATAAATAGAAGAATTCAATCTAGTGATATAGAGAGAGAAATGTGATTAATTAACCCAATAAATGAAATGCAAAGAAAAAGTACTGGATCCACCTGTTTTGTGTAGGAATTAATGCTTACTTCATGTAGACAGTGTGGTAAGGTAAGATACAAATACAGATATGAAAGTGAATGGCCAAGCCTAAAAGCAGAAGCACACCCATGAAAGCGGAAGTGAATAGAAACGGTAATGGGGAACAGCCATGAACAGGCTGTGGTGTCTGCGTTCAGTTCTGTGGAGCCAAGACACTGACCATACTCTGAGTAAGATGAAAGGGCAGGACCTGGCTTACTGCTTCAATGTGAGTAGAGCCAAGTTTGCTCTCACAAAGGATCTGAGGAGAAAATTAGCAAAAAGGTAAAGGCTGATAAATACGAAAGAAAACAAGTCATCCAGCAGTTCAGTAGCTACAGCCTCAGCTTAGCATCGTGTGAGTGTAGAATCTTACATGGACTACCACTCTGCAATGCTAAGTAGATCTGGCCCTTACTTGGGAACTGGGTAGATCTTGGAAGCTGCTTCAGAACGTGAGTCATGAGAGGCTGTTGTGGAGTGGTTGGAGAGGGACTCGGGGGGGAGGGAGGTGAAGAAATACTGGAGAGTTTTGACCTGAGTAATTACAAAGATGAAGCTGATACGAGCTAAGATTTAAAACTCATTCAAGAATGAAGTCAGGATAAAGATGTTTTCTGGCACATAAGCAGAAAGTTTCCTAACCACAGACCCTCACTTGAATAAAAACGTGAAGGATCTACTGTGGTAAGAAAAACAGAGTAGAGGTGCATAGGATATATACTATGATAAGAAAAGCAGAGTAGAGGTGCATAGGATATATAAAGTCTTGAAAAAGTTACTAAGTTTATTTATGGTATCCTAACAGGTTAGACTATATAAAATTAACAATATTTAATTGGGGTAGGGAATAGTTAAAATAGTAGAGACTTTTATAATGTTCAGGAGAAAATAAAAGGAAATCCTATGGGAAATATTTCAGCACATATATTAAAAATGTAGAAATGGCTCCATGCTAAGAAGTCTTGCCAAAAATCTAATTAAACCTCAACATCAATCATTTTCCCCTACTACTAGTTTCCTTTGTCATTGTTTCTTTTATCTATTTAAAGGATTCTGGTGAGAGAGACCTGTAGGTTTCTTAAGACTGTCAAGAAACCTGTTAAACAGACAAGATCTTACCCAGAATCCCCCTGTCAGTATTCAGAGACATACAGAGGGAAATGCTAAGGAACTAAGGGAACCTTTGATGAAAAAGTTCCAAGAGACTGGCAGATTTTGCAGGACAAACAGCCTGATTCCTTAAACAAATTATATGGGGAAGGTAAAATAATGCAGTAATTACTAAATATGAATGGATTAAAATAAACAGTTCTATTGCAGATTCCATTGTATTCTTTATAAAGACTTTTTGAAAATTTCTAATTATTCAATGAAATACGTTATCTGCTCCCACATTATCTCATTCAAACTCCTCTCATATCCCCCCAAAATTTCTCCTTCCCAATCTCATGTTTGTTTGTCTTTAATAACCTACTAAATATGCTGCCCATATGCTCATGGATGTGGCATTGTCCGCTGGAGGATGAGAAACTCACTGTGGACCATATCCTCAGTAAAGAGCAATTCTCCCTCCCCCAGCAACAACATACTACCAGTAGCTCCACAGTATAAGGTAGGACCTGGAGATCGTCGTCTGTGGTCTATGCTGGGATTCTGGCGTCTTGATGTACAGGTTACCACAGCTCCTGTGAGATCATGATTGCAATAGGTATGTCATGTTTCACAGCTCTCTGGTTCTCTCCTCTTCCACTATGTCACTGATCCTTGGTGTGGTGAGCATTAATACCTATGTTTCATTTAGGACTGGATGAGTCTCTTTTTCTCAGCATCTTGTACATGTCTCCACTGAGTGCTGCCCACTACAGGAAGCAGCTGCTCTATCCTAGGCTGAGAGCAGCCCAGGCCTGTCTGTGCTGGAAGCTGGCCTGACCTGGCTAGTAGGATTGATGCAAGCAAGGACTTAAAACTGGATTTCAAAAGGAGGGAAGAAAAACACAGTTGGGTACCTGAACATGGACTTCGTATTTGATATTAGGAGATTATTATTTTAAGTATATGACAATGATATGATAGTTTTGGGTTTCTGAGTTATTATCTTTCAGAAACAAAAATATTTACTGGTAAATATTTAAAATTAGAGAGTGGTTGGAAACTGGAGAGATGGCTCAGCAGTAAGAGTTATAATAACTGATACAGGCTGCTCTTCCAGAGGACTGGGGTTCAGTTTCTAGCATCCACATGGTGGCCCACAACTGTCTGTAACTCCAGTGTCCTTTTCTGCCTTAGCAGGCATGCATGTGGTACACACACACACACACACATACACACACACACACACACACAAATAATTGAATCTTCAAAAAACAATCTCAGTGCTATTCTCATGAGGAAATGTGGATGCTGCAGGAAGAACAGCCAAGCAATGTGAATGAGCCTGTTGAAAGTATCCACTGACTGGCTGGCAGGATGGCCCAGTGGGTAAAAGTGCTTGTCACACAAGGCCTGAATTTACACTTGAATTGACCTCCACATGTATGCCAGTGGAGGTACTCATATACACATGATAATAATAAATAAAATGAAAATGTTTTAAGTAAAAATAGTTTTGAAAAAAAGCACATTCCATTGACCAAATGAAATCACATGGCTAAACTTGTTATGTACATTAGAAAAAGAGTGGAATGGGAAGGGACCATTGGAAGCAGATCATAGGATATAGGATATGCTCTTTTTAATAATTTTTGTTTATTTTTATAATATTTTATAATGATATAAATAAAATAATCGCATATAGTGTAATATTTTATTTTTGTGTGTGTGTGTGTGTGTGTGCGGTCTTTGTGGGGAGGTGTGCATCTGTGTGCAGGTGCCCCCAGGGACCAGAAGAGGGTCAGATTCCCAGGAGCTGAAGCTATAGGCTATTGTGAGCCACCTGATAGGGTGCTTGGAACTGAACTCATGTCCTCTGGAAGAACAGTATGCACTCCTAATCACAGAGACATTTTTCTAGACCCTTTTGTTTATTTGAGACAGAGTCTCTTGAAGCCCTGGCTAGACTTAAACTTGATGTGTAACTGAGGCCGTTCTTGAATTTCTGATCCTCTTGCCTTTACCTCCCAAGTGTTGGGATTATAGATCCATGTCACCTCACCTGGCTGAATCAAAAAAATTTAATGACTAATTATTTGGGGCCTGACTTTTTGTGTCCCTGATTTGTAAGCCAGGCACTAGGTTGACAGAGAAGCCGCTGTCTGCATGGTAACAGTCTCAGTAGCTAAAGTAAAACATACTATCAGTTTGCCTACTAGATGGCCACAGGATTTCTAACATCGTGTTGTGTAGGCTAGAGTCCACAGAACGGTGATGTTTTTAATTTTTAAAAAATGTGGATTGGGTTAGATATATGCATGTGAGTGTGAGTGTCCATGGGGACCAGAGGAAGACATCAGATCCCTTACAGTTGGAATAACTGTTGTGAGCCAGTTGAATGTGAATGTTGGGAATTGAACTCAGGAGCTCTGAAAGAGCAGCAAGTGCTTTTAACTACTGAGCCTTCTCTCAAGCCACTAACATTTTTGTTTGGTTTGTTTATAAAGAAAAAAATTTAGAGAAGCAACCTGAGCACTGACAAAAAAAAGTCATAATTTTATACATACATTAATGGAGAAAATATAGAACAATAACAACTGATACAGGCAAATCTGAAAATACAGTGTTAAGTTTAGCAAAGTGTACAGCAGTACATCAACATAGGACCATTTATGTACAGAATTGAGTTTTTTGTTTTTGATCAATATGTACATTATCAAAATAATATTTTACAAGGGTAACAGAACAAATGAATCCTGCACATGATTACCTTTTAGAGTCTGGTGTATGCTGACTGGGTAATTAAGGGCATTTCATAATCTTTGTCTTCCTCTGGCTAGTACAGTACTCATTAAGTTCTCCTTGGGTTTCAGTGGCTTCTAGGTAAAATGTTTTTTAATTCATTTTTTTCTTTTAACTTACATTTATTTATTCATGTGGGGTATGCACGTGTGGATGTGTGTGTGTGTGTGTGTGTGTGTGTGTGTGTGTGTGTGTGTGCGTGCGTGCATGCGCCCAAGCACTCAGGTATATGTATAAATACATGACAATTAGGAAGCAACTTGTAGGAAGTTCCATGGGAATGGTCAGATTCTCAGGCTTGATGGCAATTGCCTTTTCCTGCTTGCTATCTCATTGGTCCCCATTGTGTTTTTATTTTCCCACTAGAAGCAATTAGTTGCTCAAAAAATTCACATAGAGGAGAATGAGGACAGAGACACAGGACTAGAACAGAGACATAATAAAGAAGATCCTGACTGCATCAAGGCCAAGGTGCCCTTGGGAGACCTGGACCTATATGATGGAACATATATAACACTGGAAAGCAAGGACATCAGGTAAAGCGATTCTCTGTCCAAGGCCTGAATCAGTAAGAAAGAAGTTCCTGAAAGTTAAGTTTATTGAAATTTGGAAGTTCCAAGTACATAATGGGTGTAGAAAGTTTGCAAAGTAATTAAGATGTATTTCATACCACAATATAAAACTAAGCTATTTGCAGTAAAAAATAAAACACAAAAGTGCCCAGTCAACATGTGGAAATATTTCTTAGAATTTATCATATGAGTGCAAGTTAAAACATTTCATCTACCATACCTCAATAGAAGCCTTAAAGGTCAGTGTCTATAATAACATGGAAGGGCTCTCAGTGGTACCCTCACTCGATTTCACATCCTAGAAAAAGTTAAGACGTTTTTACCAATCTGTAAAAGACCACTATGTTAGCTACTACTTTCTGAATCTTGCCTTGTCTCTTTTAATTTGAACTCCCCAAATATTTGACTTATGGCAGCTATGTGGACAGGTACAAATGTTGGCTGAGTACTGTTGCTTATAAGGTGTGGGGAGAATGTGGGAAAATAAGATGTCCTCCAAGTACTGTTTCACCTCTTTCATTCACTCGTTGCTTCTTCATTTTAGCCCTGAGGATTTCATAGACACAGAATCTCCTGTCCCTCCAGATCCGGAGCAACCCGATTGCACGAAAATTCTAGAACTTCCATATAGTATACATGCTTTTCAGCACTTACGAGTAAGTGGAGAACTTTCGAGTTTGTGGGGGGACATTTTTTTCTTTTATTTGGTCTTAATATTTATAAAAAGTATTTTTCTTCTCACAAGCTGCTTTATAATTTTACCTATGAGTCTTATATCTTAAAAATACTTTAAAATAACTGCTACAGGATGCTGAGTTTTTTACATCTTACATCCTCTACTATTTTTTTTACCGTGTTTTTCAAATTATCTCCTCCTTTAGGGTGTCCAAGAGAGAGTTAATCTATCTGCCCCTCTTTTACCTAAAGAAGATCCAATCTTCACATATTTATCTAAACGCTTAGGAAGGAGTATTGACGACATAGGTCACCTCATTCATGAAGGCCTGCAGAAGGTGAGTCACCCAGTGACTGACTGAGCCAGGAGACTGTGTATACACAGGGGTGTGTTTCTCTCAGGATACCTGCTTTGTTTCTTCACCTAGAAGAGGATCCAGAGTTACTATTACATTGGTATAAAACGCAATATTCAGTAGGAGAGAGGCACAGATAGTCATTTCCTTTACCAAGAAGAGATGCTGAAAAGATTTATTTAAATTAATTTTTAAAAAACCCTAGTCAAAGTAATGGGGCTTATAAACTAGATTTCTTCAGCTAAGTTTATATGAAGATTAACCATGAACGCCTCTTATAAACTAGATTTCTTCAGCTAAGTTTATACGAAGATTAACCATGAACGCCTCTTATAAACTAGATTTCTTCAGCTAAGTTTATACGAAGATTAACCATGAACGCCTCTGTACACATCCCATTACCACTGCTCTCTTCCCCAGGCAGTCACTACTATAATCTTCTGTAGTTTTCTCATAAGAGCTTTTATCTGGTAGTGTGTCTTAGTCTCAGCTGCTCCTGAGGCTGATTTGGGAGACTCTCTTAAACCCACCAGCTCAAGACTAGCAACTCTGCGCAACACTGAGAGAACCCAGCTCCAAAAACTAAAAGAAGAAAAACTAAAAAAGGAAGTAGGAAATTATGTAGTGAGCCAAAAATGTAGATGTCTCATTCAGGCATGTGTGGGAATTCAGAAGATGCTTGTTGCTCTTTCCTTCCCTGTTCCTAAGGATCACCAGCTGGAGTGTATAGCTCAATTGGTGCAGTACTTGCCCAGACCTCGTAGGTCCCTGACTTCCAGCTTCAACGTTGCATAAACCAGGTGTGGTGGCTGGGGCATGCTTGTAATTCTGTACTTCAGAGCCAGAGGCAGGAGCATCAGAAATTCACAATCATCCTTCACTACATAGCAAGTTTGAGGCAGCTGGGACTACGTGAGACCTTATCTCGAGGAGAAAATACAGTTCTCTTTCTAAGCAGTATTAATTATGGTGGTATTAGGTAAAATATATTATTACAACATTTATGTATAGTTTATTCAGATACATGGCTCAATATATTGGGAGGAATTTTTGAATAAAAGTAAGAAAGCAGTTTTATTTTGAAATACATTTCTGATTTTTGTAGTGAAGTTACCCTCTTCCCTCATCTTTCCAAAGGAGAGTGTGCATTCACGGAACTGGAGGGATCAGAAAAACCGACAATGACAGGACCTTGATGTTGTTCTTTTGTATGTTTATTTGCTTGTGAGAGACAGGTTCTCATTGTGAGGTCCAGTCTGGTGTGGAAGTCGCTGTGTAGCCCAGACCACCCTCAATGTCTTGACAATCCTCCTGCCTCAGCCTCCCACCATGGCTCTCAAGGTTCTTTGGGCAGGTGTGTGTTTTTGGGCTGTGTGTCCTGTGTTTGTATCATCATAGTGCGTCTTGCTTCCTTCATCTTGAGTTTCAGAAGAGCCAGGGTTTGGTTTGTGCTTGCTCGGAGCTTCCTCAGTCAAAGCAACTGTCTCTCCTGTATTTGACTGTCGTTTTGCTTCCTCCTAGAACTCTTCCTCCTGGGTACTGTACAACCTAGCTTCGTTTTACTGGAGAATAAAAAATGAACCGTATCAGGTAGTGGAATGTGCCATGCGAGCACTTCACTTCTCTTCCAGGTGAGATTCCGCTCGCTTCTTCAGGACCTCCTGATTAGCCACATCACTGAGATTGTTAAAGAGCAGCATACAGGAAACAGGAAGAAGTAGTGCTGAGTGACAGCCACACACTTCTCCATCTCTTAGTCAAAGAAATTAGTCTCATCGCAAATGTCAGTAAGTTAAAAGTGAAAACTGTGTAATATACTTTTCACTAAGGATGAAAACTTTATAAGGTAAATAAGCCGTGGTTCACATGAGATGTCAGTGCCAGGACATATACTGGAGGGATTAACATGAGTTGAAACTGCCTGTTTTTGTATCTGTGCATGGCTGCCTGTACCCGCATACTGCAGGTGTAGAGGCCAGAGAGCTACATCAGGCAATTTCCTCTGCCACTCTCCACCTTATTTTTAAGATATTTTCTAGACCCGCTGGTCAGTTAGCAGGCTCCTGGGATCCTCCTAAGTGACTTCTTCACACCAGGCCTTTATGAGAGTGCTGAAGGTCCAGCCCCTAAAATGGACCTCTCTTAAAGCAAGTATAAGTCATCAAAGAATTTTTAAATCCTAAGATGTCTGAGATCTTGTTGTGGCAACACTTGTAGCTATGAGGTTGAGGAAGGATCATCGGTAATTTAAAAATGTGATGTGAAACATGAGGAGTGGGTACAGTCGTGACATGTGGGCCCTGACCTCCAGCTGCATTCTTCTCTTCTAGGCACAATAAAGACATTGCTCTGGTCAATTTGGCCAATGTTCTACACAGAGCGCATTTCTCTGCCGATGCTGCCGTTGTGGTCCATGCAGCTCTGGATGACAGTGATTTCTTCACCAGCTACTATACACTGGGGAACATATATGCAGTAAATACAACTTTTCTGTTTGTTGAGCTAGAACAGTTGCTAGAGGGGGGTGAGCTTTGTTTATTTATTTCATCTTGTTTTTCTCTCAGGAGACTACTTTTTTCCTTTTCATTTTTTTCTGAACAATGGAAATAAAGTAACTGGTGGGACAAGAAAAAAAAATCTCAGTGCTGTATCATAATGCTCTTAGCTTTTGTACAGACATATAAACAAAATGAAATTCTAAACTGAGGGTAAACCCCTTAAAGATAGCAGGTCTTTCGAGCTATATTAGTATGCCGTGCTGTTGTGGGGATTGATCAAAACAGTTTTCACTACACAATAAGGTAGATAAGATTTCATAAATCGTGAGGGCTTTGGACAGATGCAACCAGCCATGGTTAACATTTCTTCCACTGTGTTTGTGTGTGTTGGTGTTGTCTCCACAGATGCTCGGGGAATATAACCACTCGGTGCTCTGTTACGATCATGCTCTGCAGGCCAAACCTGGGTTTGAGCAAGCTATAAAGAGGAAGCATGCTGTCCTATGTCAGCAAAAGCTGGAGCAGAAGCTTGAGGCTCAGCACAGGTAACTAGGAGCAAAAACTGCAGTACCAGCATCACAGACCCTTGGGTTAAAACCATGTCAAGTGGCATCACCTTAACATGGTCAGAACAACTGAGAAGAAAACCTCTTCACACCTCCAGTCCATTCTTGCTCACCAAATCCAAGTGGTTTAGCACAGCTCAGCAACAGTTCATCTGGAATAGGGAACGTTTGTAATGAAAGGCTCTCAGTCTAGATCTTTACAAATTTTTTGTTTGTTTTGAGACACAGTTTCATTCTGTAGCCCAGTGTCTTGGTTACTTTTCTATCACTGCAGAGAGACAGCATGGCCATGGCAACTTATAAAAGAGAGAGTTTAATTGGGCCTTGCTTACAGTTTCAGAGGGTTAGTTCATAACCATCATGACAGAGAAGATGGCAACAGACAGACAGGCAGCCATGGTGCTGGAGTGTTAACTGAGAGCTTACATCTGATCCACAAGTAACAGGCAGAGAAAGAGAGAGACTGAGGCTGGTGTGAGCTTTTAAAACCTCAAAGCCCACACCCAGTGACACTCCACCAACAAAACCACACCTCCTAATCCTTCCTAAAATGGTTCCGCAAATTTCAGATCAAGCATTCAAATGTATGAGATCATTCTTGTGCAAACCACCAGACTCAGACTAACCTAGAACTCACAGTGTAGCCCAGACTCACTGTGAGCTTTCAACAATCCTCCTGTCTTAGCTTCCCAAGTACTAGGATCACAAGTGTGAGCTTGCGGCTCACCCCAGCCTTTTGACCTCTTATTACTCCCGTGACACTTGGTGCTCTTGGGGAGGTTCTGCATATGCAGGAATTCTGTTGATTTCAGTTTATTTTAACAGAATATAGTATTTGATCTTTCTTTAAACCTTTAGCTCCTAGGATCAGACATTGCTCTTGACACACATTTTTATTGGGTGTATGTTAGGTTGAACAGCCGTAGAACTCTTTTGTACTTGATCCTATCAGGATTCCTAGCAAAATATGTTTGCTTCCATAGATAATAAGACTAGCTAAGAAACATGATATTATTCAGAAGAGAATTGTTTTATTCCTCAAAATTAGCCTTCATATTTTAGGTCTATTTTGATTATTAAAAAATTAAAGTAGTATTTAGAGCCCATTAAATGTGTTTATTTTCTCATTTCCTAATCTGTTTAAAGCATTATGTAGTGAGACAGAAGGAATGGTAGCTTGCTTCCTTGTAACAGGCATCTGTTTCCCTGGATCAGAATATGCATATGCCCTGGCTGAGCATCTTCCAATATAATTCTTAGTACTCGATCTCACTCCCTCACAATCTTTATAAGTCTAAATTTTCCATGAAATAATGCAGTGCATAATAAAGTTCCAGTGTTTAAACGTGATCAGGCAGCTGGCTCATTGAAATCAGATGGTGATGAATATTTCTAAAGAATATTTCTCTGCTTTAAGGAACTAGCATATAAGACCAGGATACTGTGGCCAATATACATGAAAATGAGAAAAGGATTCTAAAGTGGTTTTGAATGTCAGCAGAATATACACTGCTGTAATAAAACACCATAACCAAAAGGAACTTGGGGAGGAAAGTTTATTCCATTTTAGAGCTTACAGTCCATCCTTAAGGGAAGTCAGGGCAGGAACCTGGAAGCAGGAACTGATGCAGAGGCCATGGAGAAATGCTTCCTTAGCCTACTTTGTTATAGCACCTAGGCACTGCCCCTATGGGATGGGCCCTCGTTTATCAATCATTAATCAAGAAAATAGCATACAGGCTTGCCTGAAGCCCAATATTACAGAAGAATTTTCTCAGTTGTAGTTCGCTTCTCAGATAACTCAAGCTTGTTTCAAGTTAACATAAAACTAGCCAGCACAGATATAGTTTTTAATTGCTTACATACTTGTGTATTATCTGTCTATGATGAAAAGGAGTAAACCCAGGATTTGTACATGCTAGGCAAGTTCTCTGACATAGTCTCAACCTAAATTCATTTTGGCTGATTTATAGACATAAATGTGCTTATTTATGGGGTACTATGTGAAATTTCATTGCTTGAATCTATTGCCTGTATCTATCTCTTATCAATTCACCATAACAATGTGCAAATATTTGAGGAGATGATGTTTTCAGTATAGGCAGCTGGACAAGTGGCAATGCTATTTTTTTGTTTTGTTTTGTTTTCTGAGACAGGGTTTCTCTGTATTGTTTTGGAGCCTGTCCTGGAACTCGCTCGGTAGACCAGGCTGGCCTTGAGCTCACAGAGATCCGCCTGCCTCTGCTAAGGCATGCGCCACCACCACCGGCTTGCTCTTTTACTGTGGAGAAAGGAAGCCTAATGGGGAGAGCACATTTTCCAGATAGTTCAGTTAGGAAAGACTCCACAGCAGGCTTACCATAGCTATCCTCTGCTCTGCCTTCCCCTTAGCTGTGTGCTCAGTCAGAAACCATGGGAAAACAAGGCAGGTGCTTCTATTTTTTTTATGACATCTGAAAAGCCCAACACAGTGTTTGATTTTGAGAAGGTCTTTGCCTTTATCTTTTTTCTCAAGTAATAATTTAAATTTCAATGTTTCTCAAGTATTAATTTTAAAAATAGCATGTATTTATCAGTTATTCTTGCACTTATAGTGTAGAGTTTTTATTAATAACAATTATTGCTGATAACCATAAAGTTCATGTATTTAAGCAGTTTTTAAAATTCATGAGTTTTCAAGGTCTGCCTTTTTCTGATATTAAAAATGTTAAGGTCCCTCCAGAGAACACTGAATGAATTGAAAGAGTACCAGAAGCAGCATGACCACTACCTGCGGCAGCAGGAGATCCTAGAGAAACACAAACTCATTCAGGAAGAGCAGATCTTGCGCAACATCATCCACGAGACTCAGATGGCAAAAGAGGCACAGTTGGGTGAGTACAGTGCAAGGAGGTAGGAAATCCACTGTCGGCATGCTTCCCTGGAAGACTCTTTGTGTAGCTTTGAAGCAGTATGAAGTTATATTTATGACTTGTCTGGATCTTTTTAAAATGTATTCATGTGTGCATGAGTATATGCAAGTATGCCGCAATGCATGAGTGGAGCTCAGGATAAACCAGAGGAGGGGAAACCATGGGGGTCAGTTCTCTCCTTCTCCATGTGGGATCCAGGTATCGAACTCAAGTCATCAGACTTGGCAGCAAGCACATACACCTACTGAGCATCTCCCAGCCTGACTTTCTTAAATCTTTTTGCTTACTTATTTTAATTTTAGTTTATGTATGTGTGTGTGTGCCTGCTTGTTTGTGTACCATATGCTTATAGGTGCCTGCAGGGACCAGAAGTGAGCACGGAATCTCCTGGAAGCAGAGTTATATATAGCCAGGTGTGAGACACGTAGTGTGGGTGCTGGGGACCACACCTGGGTCCTCTGCAAGAACAACAAGTGCTTTTAAACACTGAGCCATCTTTAATAAAAATGTCATTCTCCTAGAGATCTTGGTACAATGCAAATTCTACCTCAGGATTAAGAGGTGGGGTTGAGCTTCTGCCCTCATAACAAACACTGCTCTGTAGGCATCAAGGCCCTCCTCTAAGACAGTGGTTCTCAACCTTCCTAATGCTGCGACCCTTTAATACAGTTCCTCATGTTGTGGTGACCTCCAACCATAAAATTATTTTCATTGCTATTTCATAACTGTAATTTTGTAACTGTTATGAATTGCAGTGTAAATATCTGATATGTAAGTCCTATGAAAAAGTTGTTAAACCCCCAAAGGGGACATGACCCACGGGTTGAGAACCACTGCTCTAAGAAACCAGAGAAATGCTAACAGTAACATGTGTATACTCTGCCAAAGCAAACGTCTTTTTCCCCCTTGCTTTCCTAAAAACAAACACTATTTTAGAAATAGGGATCTACACTAGAATTAGCAGGAAACCTACTCCAGTAGGAAATCTTAGCCCAGGTCAGTAGATAAGTTGAAAGGGAGTTCTAAAATCATTTCCATAGTTATCCATAGAATCACTCATGCGCGTGGCTGGTTGGTTTGTTTTTCAGAGAAAGTAATTCATAGCTTTATTAATATCTCTTAAAGTCTGTTTCCTCCAAAATAGAACCACTAGTCTAGAGGAACTTAGGTTGGCAAAAGATCGATGATTTTATTGTATCCAGAATATTTTGTTTGTGATTAAATCCCAAGGGAACAGATCTGACAACTCAGCAACAAAGTATAAAGTCATAGATGCCTTAAATTGTTCCCTCCTCTCTTGAATATGTTCATCTGGAAGGACTCTTGAGCATTGGACCTTAACTATGACTATTTATCATCCATTTTACAGTCCCTCTAATGGTTTATCTTTGCCATTTTAAGAATAAAGAATATATTCAGGTTTTAGGATTATTTAGTGATCAATCTGCATTAAATGGAACCTGAGCTCTTTTTTTGTTTGTTTGTTTTGCTTTTTCAAGACAGGGTTTCTCTGTGGCTAGAACTAGCTCTCATAGACCATGCTGGTCTCAAACTCACAGAGATTCACCTGCCTCTGCCTCCTGAGTGCTGGGATTAAAGGCGTGTGCCACCACCGCCCGGCTGAACCTGAGCTCTTACATAGGCGTTTGAAACAAAATTAGGAACTAATCAACATGGACAGAATGTAATTGCTAGGATAATTAGCTAGTAATTTTAGTCTCTCCTTGTTTTCTATGGAGAAAAACTGTGACTTCAAAGATTTGTTTATCATGGCGGGGCATGGTATGTGCAGCTCATGATTACAAGTGTTCTCATCAGATCTACGTGGAGCTGGAGTTCCAGTGGTTGCAAGACACCTGGTGTGAGTGGTGAAGTCATCTGGAAAAGCTTAAACATCTCTCCAGCCCTGAATTGCGATTTCTTTAATTATTTCACTTAATTAACTATATTAATAAGTGTCTGTTTAAATAGCCTGAATACTCCTAAAGTGTAAGAGGCACAATACTAAAACTAAGTGACTTACACTAAGAAAAAGCATGCTGTCACTGCATGACCTTGCTCATCATTTGTGTAACTTCTTCTTGCCCCAGGAAATCATCAGATATGCCGTCTTGTCAACCAGCAGCATAGTTTGCATTGCCAATGGGACCAACCTGTGCGCTACCATCGAGGAGATATCTTTGAAAATGTGGACTATGTTCAGGTCCTTTTCTTGGTCTCTTCTAGTTCTTGCTAACTCACCTATGTATAAATATATCATGTTTTGTTCCTTTGACTTTTTGTGAATTCAGTTGCTAAAATGTGTTACTGCCATTTAAAGCTTTTAAGATTTTTATTGTCTATTACGTGTGTGAAGGCAGATTTTGTTGTGAATTATCAGCTGCATGGATAACAGTCCATTTCCCAAAGTACTAGCACTGTGTCTACATTCATGTGTACTTTTCCCCCTTTGTTATGGGAGCTAAACTTGAACTGTTACTACTATTTAATTCAGTTTTAATTTATCTCTCTAAGGCAGTGGTTCTCAACCTTCCTAATGCTGTAACCCTTTAATATAGTTCTTCATGTTGTGGTGACTCCCCAGCCATAAAATTATTTCATTGCAACTTCATAGCTGATTATGCTACTGTCATGAATGTAAATATCAGATATTCGACCTTGTGCGGGTCTGGACCCACAGGTTGAGAGTCACTGTTCTAAGGCATGAAGGCATGACTAGGACCTACATAAGATGTGGGAGAGAGAAACATCTTTCCTCAAATCCCATCTTTTTGCCCCTCAAGAAATACCAACAAAATTATATTGCCACTAAAAAAAAATACTTATTAAGTACCATTGGTAGGCATATGCTTTCTGTAACCATCTCTGTATGGATATATATATATATACAACACACATATACTCATCCTCACCTGTGTGTGCACATGCAGCCATTCTAGCCTGTCTTTTTTTCAAGAAAGAGTATGTAAATACAATGAAACTGGATGGTGTGAAACTGTTGCTGGATGAGTGAAGAGGGAGCATGCACAACCAGATTAATAATCATAAAAAAGATAACAAAACAAAACCAGCATTTATCCTATCCTTCATAAGACCCATTGTGCACTAGCCTCAAGAAATTTCCAGAGACAAACTGTTAAAATAAGAGTCAGGAAAACATTTCTAGGAGAACAAACCATAAGCAAATTTGAGCCCTTTAATTTAAAAAACCCTAGACAATATTAATAGGAATAGTGTCGTAGATTGGGCTTCTATTGCCATGAAGAAACACCATGATCATGGTAACTCTTATAAAGGGAAACATTCAGTTGAGTGACTTACAGTTCACATGTTCAGTCAGTTGTCATCATGGTGGGACATGACAGCATGCAGGTGTGCATGGGGCCAGAGAAGGAGCTTGGAGTTCTACATCTTGACAGGAAGTGAACTGAGACACACTGCTCATGGCTTGAGCATATATGAGACCCTAAAGCCTGACTCCAAAGTGACAAACTTCCTCCAACAAGGCCATACCTACTCCAACAGAACAACATCTCCTAATAGTGCCACTCCCTATGAGCTTATGGGGGACAATTACATTCAAACTACCACAAGTAATAAACAAAGATACATAGGCCTTTCAGGAGGGACAGCAGCAATGTGGAACTTATGCTCCTCTGATTTCCATGGACCAATCACTAGCACTCCTACATGTTTGGCTTTTAAGACAATGAATAAAGACTCACACCATCTGAGAGTCTATCTATCTCCTGTCGTAAGCACAAGCATTGTAAAGAGGAAAAGGGGGGATTTGGAAATATGATTGAAATCCAGTGTGACTTTTAGATGTCCTAGTAGTTTGAGAACTGCCCTGGATCAGTATCCTTTCAGTTATATAATGTCTGTGTACCAGAAGAGTGTCTTTCTATTCGTAAGACCTAGAAGTACAAATTTAGCATGCTCACTCCTTTCTCTCATGCCCTTCCTATCCATCCCTCTCATGGTCTGTTTCACATTCTGTACCCTGTCGAACCATGGTGTCTTACAGGTGCAGCAAATAATTTATCTTGGTTTGGAGGAAAGCTGTGTATGTGTGTGGTTCTTCATTTTTCTAGTTTCACCTCTTTAGCTCTAAAAATTGTATGGAATTGAACACTGTTGGGACATAGTTCTAAGAAGTAAATGATCCTATTGCTTATTGCTGACATGCTTTCTGAATTTCTGTTAGACTACTGATGAATGTTCACTAGGTTTTTTTGTTTAAGTAAAATCTCCCTCATAACTCCATTTCCACTCACAATTGAATTAAAGTTTTTATTTTCTAGTTTGGTGATGATTCATCAACCTCCAGTATGATGTCTGTGAATGTTGATGTTCCTTCAAATCAGAGTGATGTCAGTGAGTCCATCAAGTCTTCTCCTGTAGCCCATTCTGTCCTCTGGGTGTGGGGCCGTGACTCTGATGCATACAGGGTAAGTGTATAGAGAATGATAAAGGCGTTTTCTCCAGCAAACATGGTCTCTTAAAACTGTGGCTGTCCACTGCAATGATTAATGTGGCCTGACACTGTCCAGCCTCGTACACCGTACATGCAGTAAACTTACTATTAAATGGACGTCATTCTGTTAGGTAATCATGGGTCAGTAAGGTCTTTACTAAGTTCCACACAATCCAGTGGAGCAGGTGAAACCCTGATTCCAGTTTTTCATGCTGGGTGTGATTACTAGCTTGTGTCTTCTTCGCTTATTCAGTCAATACTGAATGCTAGGCTGATACTAGGATGTAGGAGATAAGCTTTTTGCCCTCTTGAAGCTTTATTATACTAATGGAAGATGCATACAGTGATTACACTGGTAAATATATTTATAGGCTACCATGAGGAAATTGTATGTTAGATAGGTTGTATGCTAGCTAGGACATAAGGACAAAAATGTGTACTTTTTATTTACCATTAAAACTTCAAAATTTAATTGAATATTTATTTATTGTAACAGTTAATTCAGCCATTAGATTTAATTATCAAAATTTGGGTTTGTAGGCCCTTAGTACAGTTATTTGTATGTAGAAAAATGAACATTTTACAGATTTCTAAAGGAATTGTTGGGAAGCTGAGACAGGAAGATCGCTTGAGCATTGGAGTTGCCTTATTAAAGGGATTATTAAGTTTTGGCATTTAATCAAAGATTGTTGGTTGGTGTTTGTTTGCTTGTTTGTGTGTTTTGTCGGCATGAGGAGCTTATGTGTGCTTTCAGGTACATGTTACAAGCTGCACCTCCAAAGATGTACCCCTTATTATACAAAGTCCAGAGATAGACTTGAGGCTCAGGTGACTGCAAGTGACCAGTGACTTTACCAGTGACTTCTTTCCTTCCTCTCTTATGGTGTCAGGCACATTACTGTTTTCATTTGAAAATGTGATGAGATACATCAGCAACTGGAAAGCAAGCTTTTCTGTTCATATGAGGCTGAGGCTTTCTTTTCTTTCTAGTAATGCCGCCAGTCTGTCCTTGTATTTCATTGGCTCAGCTAACATAGGCCTGCCCTGTACCACCCAGTCGGTAATGAAGCAAACAGAGTAATTCAGACTAAGAGTCTGATAGAAGGAATATTGTAAGATCAGCCAGAGTACCCACATTTATCTGAAAGCGTTACTTTTCTGTTCCACCATTCTTGTATAGTGTCTTAGTTGCTTTTCTGTTTCTGTGAAGAGACCCCATGACCAAGACAACTCTTATGAAAGAAAGCATTTCATTGGGAGCTGGCTCACAGCGTCAGAGAGTTATTAGTCATAGAAGGGAGGGTGGCATCAGGCAGACATGGTGCTGGAGAAGTAGTTGAGAGTTAGCATCCTGATCCTCAAGCAGAGAGAAAGACAGTGGGTTTGGCATGGGGTTTTAAACCCTCAGAGCCACCTCCCCCCATGACATACTTCCTCCAACAAGACCATAAATCCTAATTCTTCTAATCCTTTCAGATAGTGCTACTCCTTGGTGACTAAGCATTCAAACGACCACATATACCTAAATTACTGTCTAAGTTTTAGATTTATATATCTTATTTTTATGTATATGATATGACAGTTGTGTTAGCTGTGTGTATGAGCATTACATGCCTGATGTGGTCTGTGTAGACCAGAAGAGGGCATCAGATCCCTGGAACTAGAGTTAGAAATAGTTGTGAGCGGCCATGTGGGTGCTGGGAATGAAACCTAGGTCCTCTGAAAAAACAGTCAGTGCTCTTAATCTCTGAACCATTGCTCCAGCCCCTAGTTTGCCTAAATTCTTTTAACAGTTCATTTAGCATGTTGAAATGTTGAATCTAAAGTAATCTATGAGAAGATTTATTTCTTTCGTAGGATAAACAACATATTCTTTGGCCTAAAAGAGCAGATTGTACAGACAGCTATCCCAGAGTCCCTCTTGGTGGGGAATTACCAACATACTTTCTGCCTCCAGAGAACAAAGGACTCAGGCAAGTGCTGATGGATTTGGCAAAGCACCTGATTCTGCATGATTGTCTTCTGGCGGTTCTTTGAGAGCACCAGCCTTGGACTTGAAAGGTTAAGTCTTTGTCTTGAACTCACCCAAACTTTGAATATATGAATCTTGTTCCTTTTTCTTATGCCAGGATCCACGAACTGACCAGTGATGATTATTCTTCAAAAGAAGAGGCCCAAACCCCTGACTGTTCCATAACTGACTTCAGAAAAAGCCACACCCTGTCCTTCTTAGTCAAAGAATTAGAGGTCCGCATGGATCTGAAAGCCAAAATACCCGATGACCATGCACGCAAAGTAAGGCTCACTTAGGCTGCTGTTTATTGGCGTCCATTCTGGGTGACTTCGAAAGCCTCGTACATGGAACAGAAACTTGAAGGAAGGTGCTAGGTTTTCAGCTAGAGAAACTAAAGTAGCATTGAGAATTGATGAGATGGCTGAGATGTCACCATGCTTCTTAACAGCAGAGCAACAGAAATGCTCCTGGGCTGCAGTGCATGGTGTCCTTCTGAGCACTGTGTGTGCCTCTAACCCAGAGCATTGTGAAGACGGAAGACATAGAACTCTGTCTGATGGAGGCCATCCTGACATCTTCAGTTAAGCTTTGTGCCTGCTGAGCTCCACAGGTTTATACAATTCAAGGCTTGAAAGTTCTCCTGCTCTGGCCTTGTCACTTGTTTTGGAACTATGTGAGGTCCCTGGAAATCTCTTAATTTGATAGCCATCCAACAAAAGTATGAATAGTTTCTGTTAATACTATTTCCTTTAGTTCTTATTAGCTGTGTATGACTAAGAGTACTTTATTACTATAGATAGATGTGTATTCCAGGGATAATATGTAGATTACAATATTTGAACAAACGTAACTACTCACAAACTACAAATGACAGCATTATCTTTTTATAGGGAAACAGACCATGGCAACTAATTTGGTGCTGGTGGTGTTTTAAACTGAGTATAGTGAGTACTTAAATTTAGTACACATTCATTAAAGCCGAAAAGCAATCATTTACCAGGTACTGTTGTTGGTTCTTAGAACATCAAAATAATTAAGGCACAACCTTTCTTTAGATTGCTCACAAGTACACAAACACTGCAGGAGAAAAAATAGCTGAATTGAGGTCTGGTTCTTTCCAGCTTGGGAAGGAAGAGTGCAGAGTTTAATATATCCAGTATTGCATGTTGTTGATTCTGGATAATTTCTCATTAGATTCTACACACATAAGTTACCTTTAATGTGGGAGGGTATTTTACTGGAAAGAGAAACAGAGAGACAGACAGACAGAGAATGTGTGTGCATCTTTTAACTCTCATAGTTGAAGAAAACTAGAGCATATATGTGAGCTGTAGAATACTTGTTAGTACATATGTATGCTGTACATATGATTATTTGTGAGTAATTGTTCTTGGGGGTTTGGATATACCTCAGTGAGTTAAGTGTTTGCCACACAAGCAGGGGACCTGAGTTTAGATCCCTGTACCTCTGTAAAAAGCTGAGTGTGGTGACACGTGTTTATAATCTCCCTTTGCTAAGGATGGGTGATGGCAGGAGGACTCTTGGTATTTACTTATCGGCTAGTCTAGCAAGTCAGTGAGTTCCAAGTTCAGTGAGACTATGTCTCAAAAAATAGGGAGTGACAGAGGAGGGTAAGATGCCCTGCATCAAACTCTAGCCTCCACATGTCACACACACATATATACATAGGAGCACACATACACAAAATACATACACACTCATGCTAGATAGATAGATAGATAGATAGATAGATAGATAGATAGATAGATAGATAGATAGATAGATAGATAGATAGGTTAAAAATTCTGAGGCACTCATTTAAAGAATGCCATCATAGAGATTCTTCCAGATGTCTTCCCTGGTATTTTCAATTGAGTCAGTGTTTCTTTTGATATTTTCAGATTTTGCTTTCCCGTATTAAAAACTATACTATCCCAGAAGAAGAAATTGGGTCTTTTTTATTTCATGCTATTAACAAGGTAAGTCATTTGTTTGAGGCATTTAAAACTTAAATATTAACTATAAACTTAAATACTAAGTTTTAGTTTTTAATGTATTTGTTAAAAATTCTATTTAGAGCTAGTACTGTACTTTTTATATAACTGAAGTGCTTTGACATTGTCAGCCAAACGCTCCGGTGTGGCTCATTCTGAATGAAGCAGGACTGTACTGGAGAGCAGTAGGAAATAGCACTTTCGCTATCGCCTGCCTTCAGAGGGCTTTGAATTTAGCTCCGCTCCAATACCAGGACATTCCTCTTGTCAACCTGGCCAACCTTTTGATTCATTACGGCCTTCATCTTGATGCTACTAAGCTGCTCCTGCAAGCGCTGGCTGTCAACAGCTCCGAGGTGAGGTACTTTTTACTTACCTTCTTGCAGCCATGTATATGAGAACAGCTTGGTTGTAGAGTGCTCTTTGATTTTGTCTAGGAGGGATACAAAAAGTGTCAAGTTTGCTTTTCAGGTTAAAGTTCACATATTTCAAGAAAAGAAAAAATGTATTTTATTTTAATTATTTATATATTTTGAGGCAGGGTCAGTTATATAGCCAGAGCTCACCTCAGTTCAAAATTCTCCTGCCTCGGGCTCATGACCCAACATAACAGGCATGTAGCATCATGCTAGCTCTTTTCAAATTTAAATGAATGAAATTTACAATTCTCAGTTAGCTTTTTAAAAGCTTGCATGTAAGCAAGAATTGTGTAGCCATCAAAGTATACTTTACTTTCTATGTCAGTGTGCAACACCTGGCTCTTTTTTTATCCAACTCATTACTGAATGTACCTTGCTCAGTATTATACTGTCTTATACATGGAATTTTTTAATATACAAACATAGTTATATCCTCTGAAACAAAATACAGTTAAACAGTTGTTTTGGTAAGAAATAATAGGCAGGGGACTGGAAATAGAACTCAGTGATAGAGCTTAACCTAGCATGCACAACACAATATATCCAGTGCCAAGGTAACAGATACACGCTGCCATGCCCAAGGTAACTGCTTTGTTGTTATTTTTAATTCTTATTTGTAAGATATCACATCATAATTCATCTTACTGATTTATCACATTAAGTTTGATGAAATGCAGTTGTAATGTATATACAACTAAGTTGCCCTTACCTAACACCAAAATGATTATATGTTTTATCTCTGGAGAATCCGTTGGAAAAGATGAGTATGAACAACTCAGGTTTCTTTAAGGTTTCCTAAAACTAAATTTTTAAATATAGGATGTTGCCCATTAAGGATTCATAAATTTACAACTAAATTTTAAGCATAATTTTATGATTCCTCTACTTTCCAGCAGGTCAGGTTGCTAGTACGTCCATGAGATAGTACCCAGTGCTTGGTCTGTAGCAGCCATGCTCGGTGAGAATAGATGATGCCCATGCGCTAGGCTGTGATGAAGTAGGCATACCATGGAAGACCCGGTGCTGCCATAGTCCAGGACACTTCCTGTGTTCACTTGCTGCACTACCACCTAAGGCAGCTAAGTGACGTTTTTCTGAAGAAGGAAAAACTGAGCTCTCATAGAGATACTTGTCTTTCTGTATTTAGTTGTGAAGTGCTCTGGTATTTCTACAAGATAAAAAGAGAAGTCAATGAATCTGGATAACAGTAGCAAAAATACACCCTAACCAACACTCCCTCCCCAGATGTCAGCATTGAAAATACTCACTTATAACCAGGGATTGCAAGTATTTCATAGTGAACCTTAAAGATTAATACATTTATAAAAACTGCTACTATATAGTTTTAAAGCCATTCATTTAAATGGTTGTATAGTCCAGAGATTGGCATACCACGACTTACTCTTTTTTTTTTTTTTTTTTTTTTTTTTTTGGTTTTTCGAGACAGGGTTTCTCTGTATTGTTTTCGAGGCTGTCGGTCCAGCCTGGCCTCAAACTCACAGAGATCCACCTGCCTCTGCCTCCCGAGTGCTGGGATTAAAGGCGTGCGCCACCACCGCCCGGCATGACTTACTCTTTAGGTAGCTGACAGCCTTAGTAACTGTTATTAATGCTGGTTTCTATCAGAGCCTTTTCTGTTTTCCAGGTAACTATCTTAGCACTGAAATTAGTAAGTCAGTGAAATAGAAAATATTTTGATAGCTGTGATACCTTACAGGGCCAGATGGTCCAACAAAACGTTTGGACTGTACATATGATCATAAGCAAGGGCTACAAATCTTCATTGTACATATATCTTCACCTGTATTGAACATTTCATTTGTTTTCCTATATTAGATTTTTATTCTACTAGAGCTGGGCACCCTGCAGGTGTTTTACATACAATAGTTCACTTACAATAGTAACAGTATATTGCCTCTGAACTAACTTTCATAAAACTGGTTAGCTTATTTTAAAATACCACTTCTTTGTTTGAACACTTTTTAGTCTTCTAATAACAATGTTTTGTTTTCTAAGATGATCTCAACTGTGCTAGTCCAAACTGGTCCCAAAGCTTGCGATGCTCCTCTGCCTTTGTCTTTCAAGTGCTGGGGTCACAGGCATGCACCACATGCCCAGTTTAGAAACATGAACTAGTTCTAGATTAAGTAAACAAAGCTATAAAACGTATGTTTTGTATGTACACATTAGAGAAACCACTGTTTGATTCCATTCATGTGAACTTCACAAAGGGTAAAGTTAATGTGTGGTGGTAGAAGCCACAATATCTCAACAATGGTTTCTTTAGGGATAGGGTTGGGAATCTCTGGGATATTGGAAACATTCTAATTGTTTTATATATTGGGTTGAGTAGCAGTTATCAGAATATATTAATATGTAATATGAAATTCATTGAGTTGCATGTTTAAGACTAGTTACAACTTTTAGTTGTATATAATACAGTTGTGTATAATGCAGTTTAGAATTGGCTGGTGTGAATAAAGTGAACAGTTTAGTGTAACCTTTACAGAGCAACCAAATTAAAACTCAAAGAAGTGTAATATAATGTGAAGGTTTTATGCTTCTCAAAATGCAGCAGTTCATTTACATTCTGCTGATTCTTTTTTCTCTTCTCTTCAGCCGCTGACCTTTTTGAGCCTGGGAAATGCTTACCTGGCTCTGAAGAATGTCAGCGGGGCACTTGAAGCCTTCAGGCGGGCCTTGAAGCTAACTACCAGATGCCCAGAGTGTGAAAGCAGCCTAAAGCTGATCCGCTGCATGCAGTTTTACCCTTTTCTGTACAACATTACCTCTTCAGTTTGTAGTGGTAAGTGCCTGTTAAATGCCAGAAAAATTAGGAGCTCAACCAGTGTTGTTGGCATGATTGAAAGAACACAGAGATGGTTTTAGAAACATCTTCCAGGGTTTAGAAAACTAATTCCAGGTGAACAGCAAAAAGTATATTCATTAAATTCCTAGAAATGCCTTAGGAGCCGGGCGTTGGTGGCTCACGCCTTTAATCCCAGCACTCGGGAGGCAGAGGCGGGCGGATCTCTGTGAGTTCGAGGCCGGGCTGTACTGACAGCCTCCAAAACAATACAGAGAGACCCTGTCTCGTAAAACTAAAAAAAAAAAAAAAAAAAAAAAAAAAAGAAATGCCTTAAGAGTTAAGGTTTAGTTTGTTTCCAGAATCCTAGTTAAGAAATACTGACTAAATTTTACAGTGGAATTGAGAGATTACCTATTTTTTCTCCCCTAAATTTCTGTTTAACCATAACTAATATTCATGGTGAAAGAAATTCATGAAATGTATTATGAGCACATTTCTACATACTTAGTCCCTAAAAACAGCTTCTTGCCTTTCAGAGTAGTGGTTCAGCTTTACTTACTGCCCTTTTACAATGGTTATCTAATGGTATATTGCAGTGTCCTTTGTCTTTAAGTGTGTCTGCCTAGCAGAGCAAGTATGAAACCTTTCTAAATGTCACATGAACTCTAGTAACCTTCATTATAAGGAAAAGATTGTCTGTTTCACAGTCAGCCTTTGAACTGTGATAGAAACAGTTTACATGTATGTGGATCTTCAACACCTAGCAAGTGCTACGTTGGACAACAGTGGACATTCCATTGCTCTCCAGATTATAGTATAGTGCTTAGGCAGAGGGCCGGCATTCTAGTTCCTTCAGTTTGGATATTAAAAATTGAACAAATCTGACACCCAGTTTATGAGGTTTGACTTAGATGATTTATAATAGGCTTAAAGCCAGAAACTAGTTTTCCTGATTCACTTTACCAGGCTGCCTCAGGATTTTAATGGAATTGGGAATAAATGTACTTGCATTATTAAATACCAAAGTCTCTCAGCAGCATACTAACATAGATCAGATGCATACTGGTGTTGGTCATAATCTGAATTAGAGTTCTTGTGAATACAGAAGGTCTGAATAGTATTTTAGTGTGGAATAGTCATGGCCAGCACTAGAGTTATACAGATTCAAGCCTGAGCCATACTCTGTCTTACTTTCTGATCCTAGTAAAATAACATATCATTACCTTTGCAGTGGAAAACACCGTCACATACTTGCCGAGAGGATTAAGTGAGAAACTTATCATATAGTAGATAACTGGGTAAAAGTAAGCTTTTAGAAATTGATGGTAAGACCAGTGAGGTGACTCAGCAGGGAAAGACACGTGTTGCCAATCCTGAAGACCTGAGGTCAATTCCTGTAATCTACATGGTGGAAGAAGAGAACCAGCTCCCCAAGTGCTCCTCCACCCTCCACATGTGCAACCACACACGCACACACACAAACATGCACATGCGTGCATTAAATACAAATGAAATTTTAAAGACATTTATAGTAAATACCAGCAATTTAGAGCTTTCTAAGAGAAAGTATGGTTCTTGTTCTTACTTCATCCTAGGACAGGCGGTAGTTAGATGGTAGTGGTTACCAAAAAGAGCCTTGTTCTTCTTACTGAGGGTCTTTTATTAGGAGAACTCATGTCCCTTACCTTCTTCTATCACATCTCTTTAAAATTTGGTTCCTGGAGGTTTAGTAATCTTCCGCTAAAAGTTATTTTCCTTTGTATTAATATTGCTCACTTGTGTTCAGCTTTTTAGGGTTTTTTTGTTTTGTTTTGTTTTGTTTTTATTTCTTGCACTTTATTCTTATGTCACTCATGTCAGCAGAAGGAATTTAGTTGTGATGGACTTTTCACTAAGATCCTAACTTGTTGAGGAATAAGTAATGTGAGACAGATCTTTATCAGATATGGAGCATCTGCTAGTCTAGATTATCTCAATGATATCCATGGGTCCAGTAAAACTATAAAAGAAAACCATTTACCTTGGAAGATGGATTTCTGTTGTTCTTCCAGAGAGAACTCATGAGCAAACACTGGACAAGAGTCAGCCCTTTGCACTTAAGTAACTAACTGTGTAAATTGCAAGGCCTTTGCTCTGATTACTAGAACAGGCTCTCCCAGTCAGCCGATCTGAGACGATGATCATGTGAACAGCAAAATGTCTAACCAGTGGCATTGCCTAACATTCCCAGGTGTGAATCTCAGTGATTGCACTGAGTGAACTTTACTACTGAATTTTTCTTTGTGTATTACTCTAACAAACTCAAGTGTTTTATGAAGGAAGACTTAAAAGGTTCAATTTAAGTTTTTTCTTTGAGAATATTTCTTAGAGAATTTTGTAAAACATATTAGGATCATATTCGCCCTCCCTCCCCCAACTCTTCTCAGAGCCACTCTCTTTCCTTTGTATCCTATCCCACTTCGAGGCCAGTTTATGGTCCACGTATTCTTAGATGTGTGGTCTTCCACGAGAACATGATCAGCTTTTCAGAGACTGTATTCTTAGAGAGAACTGACCATTTCTCTCCTAGCAGCTCTTTGGCTAACAAGTGGAATTTCATGCCCAACTGCCCTCCTTATGCTGAGACTTGATCTGGCTTGGACTTAAATGCTCTCATAACCACTGTGAGTTCAGGTATAGCTGCCCTGCTGTCTCCAGAAGTCACTGTTTCCTTGTAGTCATCTACTCTCTTTGAATCTTTCCCACTCTCCCTTCCACAGTGATCCCCTGAGTCTTTGAAGTGGGGAATTTTACTTAGGACTGAACATTCTGAAGTCTCTTATTCTTTGTTCCCTGGCCCATTGTAGATCTCTGTGTTGATCATTACCTACTGTAAACAGAAGCTTTTCTAATGAAGGTTAAGATGTGCCTTTGTCTGTGGATACAATGATAAATCATTAGAAGTCCATTTAACAGAATAATACTAATAGATTTTCTCTAGAACCTATGATCTACTTAGGTTTTTGGCTCAGTAATTGTGCCAGGTATGGGTTTCATCAAATCAGGCCTTAAATCCAATCAGAAAGTGGTTGTTTACTCCCACGACATAACTGGCACTATTGCGCCAGTGGGCATGTCTTACAAGTCATTGTTGTATTTCATGAGGTTCTCACAGCTTAGAAAGATTGATGACTTCATTTCTCTTCTGGAAGTATGCATAGCACCTTCTAGCACTATTTAAGCTAGCCAGTAGGGTTGATGCTTCTAGGTCAGCACTGGTTTATTACCCAAGTATGTAGTATTTTCAAAAATAGGTGTTTACCATCAATGCACCAAGACATGTGTTCAACTAAAAACATTACACCAGATCTTTAGAAGTTATAAATAGATAGTCTACAGAATAAATCATACACAAATATCAACATATCTTAGAATTTCAGACAAGTTTCTACATAATACGTGTTTAAATAGCCTTTGTAACAATTTCCAAATTGTATATATGAACTTCAGTACCTTGTGGTATATAGGTAGATCACCTTGTATTCTTCTTACAATGTTTCTGTATTTATCACATGCATATACAGAAATATCTTTTTTGTAACATTTCATTCTCTGAGGTTTAGTCTATTTCCTGCAGACAGAATTTTTGTAGATTTATGGCTTGCTGTGCACAAAGTTCTATCATTTGGATTTTAAAGAAAGAAACGTGTGTGTTGCTGCCTCCTGCGAACTCTGCAGCATATATCACCTGCAGTTGAAAGCCTATGCTTCGCCACTTCTTCACAAGAATTGTGTGTATGTTTGTCCTTAAGATATTTTTATACATCACATTTGGAGAGAACTTCAATATATAGGCCACCTCAATTTTTTCACAAGATAATTAAAAAAATTTGTTTTGTTTTGTTTTTTACAAGACAGGGTTTCTCTGTATTGTTTTGGAGGCTGCCAGACCAGGCTGGCCTCGAACTCACAGAGATCCGCCTGCCTCTGCCTCCGAGTGCTGGGATTAAAGGTGTGCGCCACCACCGCCCGGCAATTAAAAACTTTTTAAGGACTATAATTACCAGGTAATTCTTTTGAGATGTTTCTGTTATAAGGGAAGAATAAGAAAAAGTCCGTGAGTTTATAGATCTAGAAACAAAGGTTATGATTTGCCCAAGTCAAAGACAAGTCAGTAGAACTAAAACTAACACAAACTACTGCCTTCCTGCCAGTCTGGCTCATTCATTAGCTCTCTTGTTTCCAACACACTATAAATCACCCCCACTGCCATGGTAGTATAATTCATGTTTGTAGATTCTTAGGATGTTTAATAAAACTAGTATAATCACTGTATTATTGGTACCACCCCTTAAAAGATGTGTGTGCATACAAAAAGTATGAATTTCACTAGATTATGAAGATTTTAGAGAACAGCCATAACCACCCTACAAGCATACAGAAGATGCTCTTCTCATTACCTTGATGTTTCTGGATCTTGCTCGTTAGTTTGCTGCGTGTGAATTGCCTTGGGTTTTATACAGAAACTGGTAACTGTATTTGTGTTAAGTCAGTAAGCAGTGTTTTTCTTTAGAGGTTCCCAGCACTTAGATTTTATGGACAAAATTTTTATCTCTGGGACCAGCAAGATGGCTCAGTGGGTAAAGGCATTTCCTGTCAAGCATAACAGTCTGAATTGGATTCCTGAAGACCCACATGGTAGGAGAGAACCAGCTCCCAAAATTGTCTTGATCTACACACACACACACCCACGCACGCATGCACACAAAAGAAGTAATGCAATTAGATCTTTTAACATATATTTTATCTTTTAGGTCACTGTGTAACAGACTCTGATAACCAGTGGCTTATATTTCATGCTGCGAAAGAAAGTGAATATATGTGTCCCAACTCAGTTTATGTCAACTTGACACAAACTAGAGTCATTTGGGAAGAGAGACTCTCACTTGAGAAAAAAAATCTCCTTAAGATACAGCTGTAGGCAACTCTGTAGGGACATTTTCATAATTAGTGATTGA